ATTTTTAAATACAGGAGAAATTCAGAAAGTCCTTTTTTTACTATTAAAAGGCTGTTTTACTGTCTAACGCTGTAAAACGCCTCACAATGCATTTTTATCAAAATAAATGATCACTGTATATTGTTAATTAATTCAAATAATGTAATATTGATTTAGTGTTGTAGTGTGTGTGCTGCTTTATTTTATATGTGTACTTATTTCAGTCTATTTGTGTTTCTTATGCAGAAAAAAACAAGCAACGATGGACAACTACATGGGGAACAAGACACTCACCCCCCAGCAATGCATACCACTTACAAACTCTATTCTAGATTCTGCATTATTTTTTATGGAATTTGCCTCTTATATTTTGATGCCAAAAAATTATTCTGGACTGATATTTTGCACTGTTTAACTCATTTTACACCGCTGACTGTGTTCATGTGCAATAAAATAGATTGCAGTCAACTGCACAATTCTCTTATGTTTTTCTTTTTCTTAACTGAAATGTATTCATCACTTTTATAGGTTAAATAGCTAAACAATAACAAACCGATTAATCGAAAAAAATAATCGACAGATTAATCGATTATGAAAATAATCGTTAGTTGCAGCCCTAATCATGTTATACTTCTCAATCGACTGGAGAATTTTTTTGGTCTCTGGTTCAGCGCTCTTCTGGATGAGTTCCTACCTGTCTGACAGGTATATGACTGTTAAGATTGGTAGCTTCAGCTCAAGTGATGCTCCCCTGAAATATGGGGTCCCACAGGGCTCTGTACTTAGTCCTCTGCTTTTCAATTTATATTTGCTCCCTCTTGGGGCCATCTTTTGGAAATATGAGCTTGACTTCCATCTTTATGCTGATGACTGTCAGGTCTATGCTTCTGCTAAAGCTAAGGATTTAGCTCTGAGTTGTGTTCGTGAGGTTAATAATTGTGGATGGGTTGTAATTTTCTCCAGATTAATTAGTCTAAGACGGAGTTGATTATGTTTGCACCAAGTGGTGCTCCTGTAGTTACTCAGTCTCATATGATGCAAAGGATGTTGTGTCTAATTTGGGTCTTAAGATTGATTCTCAGCTTAAATTTGATGTTCAAGTCAATAATGTGGTTCAAGTATATTTTTTTCACCTAAAGAATCTTTATGTCCTTTTTGATGAGGAATCGTTTTGAGAAGCGTATTCATGCATTTAATGCATTTTGTTTAGACTACAGCAATAGTCTTTACTTGAGTGTTGATTAGGGCTGCACAATATATCGAAAAATTATCGTCATCAGGATAACAGGACGTGCAATAGGCCCATCGCAAAGCATGTCAAAAAAGGCGATAAATGCTTGGTTCAACATTTCCATCCGTGTCATACATCAGCTTTTTGTAAACCAGCTCTTTTTTTACACGGAAGTACTATTTGACCAATCAAATGTAGCCCTTCTGAGATGCGGCCAATCAGATGGGTCCGTTCACGTAATACGCCCGCCCCCTACATAGACCTTTTGGATGGAAAGCAACACCCGAACTGAGTTAGCAGCGCCGTTCCCTTGTTCGTCATGCTGGCTCAGAGCAATGAACGCACTTTGTGCTGAAGTTTCTGGAATCAGCGCTGCTTTCAAACGTGAGTCCGCTCGGTGTCGTTAATCATTTTTACCGGGCTGACTCCGACACGTGCCGGTGAACCAACCCACCTTCATATCGCTATTGTTCCACCGGGTGGTGATGTTAGCCCCAGGCTCTGGTTAGCTTCCAGCTAAAAGGCTACAGCACTCTCCTCTAGAGGTGGGAAAAATGATCGATTCTAAGATGCATCTCGATTCAGCCATGCATGATTCCGCATCGATGCAGCAACGTGACATAATGAGATTCTCTCCCTATATCTATGTCGGGGATCGGCAATCCGTGGCTCTGGAGCCACATGCGGCTCTTCCATCCATCTGATGCGGCTCTCTGTGCTTGTAAAATAATGAATGGATATTTAAATAAAATGCTTTATATGTTACTGCATTAATTTTACATCTGTAAGTCAATTCTATGTAAAGATTATCTGCGTAAACCTGAACAGTTCCAACCCGGTCTTACTGTGAGACCGGGTTGACGCGTCACGCTTGTGCGTAATCATAGGCGCATTCTGAGCTGAAGAGGATGTCAGATTCTGGGATTCTCCTCAGCTCCAGGATGTGTCGCCACATTGGAGACAGGAACAAGCGCTATTCAGCCAAAGTTTCATAATCAGCGAACATTTTCTAAGTGACAAGTCTCGCTTCAGTCGGAGGAATCTTCCTGCATGCGCTCTGGTTCTGCGACACACTCCAAGCCCCTCTCCACATCTTCAGCTCGCTGTGCACCGTACGCACTGACAGTGAGCTGCGCTGAGCAATGTCCAGCTCAGATGTTCAGATGGGAATCATTTCTTGAGTGATTTAGCTACATCTGCGATGTGCGTAACGAATAAAGTGTCAGTTCGTCTGCTTGCGTCGGGGTAATGATTTCTATTATTTCTCCGTCAAAATAAACTGTCAAATACGGGAACTGTCCGGTCAACACAAGCCCTGCTTTTAACTGTTCTGTTTTCTTGTGAAAATTGTTGCAAAGAGATAAAATTTAACTTGATTAACACCAGAGCCAGATTAACACTGTTGTCTCCGTCACTGTAAATGAGGGAAAAACAAAATGATCGGATCCTTTTCTGACCTTCCCCACCTACAAAGTTTAATTACAACAATCAAACGTGACAGAGCCTGGATTTGTATTCTGAACAGTCTAAACATGTTTTAAAAAGAAACGTATGACAAAAGTGGCACCTGCTCAGTAAAACCACCAACAGGGTGAAAAATATCAAAATATTGTAGGCAGAGACGGGCTACAACTTCTGGATCCATTTTATATAAATCGTTTTATTGATTATCTTCTTATGAAAGATAACTTTGACGTACACGAGCGACCGGTACTGGCTGCTGTCACCTGTTGTGAGCAACTCTCTGCTGTCTGAGGGTAGGCCCCGTCCACAACGCCACGGCTGCTGCGACTCCCAGTGTTTTCTTTACTGTGGGAAACGGGTAATAATGGCTCTTTGATGGGAACAGGTTGCCGACCCCTGGTCTAATGGGCCATTCCCATCTGTACCGGGTCGGCCCGGGCCGGGTAGCGTAGGTTGTTTACATATCTGGGTGGCCTGGTATTTTTCCGGGCCAACCAAGGCTCATTCTCAGCCCTCTTCTCGAGGGGGTCTGCTTCAGGCCGACCAGGGCCAACACGCCCACTGCTGACAGCAAATTCACACCTTCCATTAGAGCAAGCCTCTGATTGGTGGGTAGAATCAGCCCACATGGGCTTAAGACAAGGATGTGTGGAATCAACCGGGCCAGGCTGGGGCCGACTGGGGCTACCCGGCCTGGGCCGACCCGGTACAGATGGGAATGGCCCATATGTCTATGCGAGGACAATAAAGTTTTGAGGTTTTACAATTACTTCTGGGGGCAGAGTTGCAATGACATGTGCACTGCGTTGCCATATAGTGCCAATTTAAAACAGAAAAGGCGGACAGGGATACAGGGCCAACATTACCAGTAATCAAAGATGTACCCGTTACATTTAAATCGGATGTCTGGGCTAATTTCGGTTTTGGGATCCTGGATGTGAAAGAATCACTTAACACAGTATTTGTTTACTATTTTTAAGTTCAGTAATATTCTTAAAGCTGCTCTACTGAAAACATTATTTCTTATATTATTTAAGTAATTATAGGCAGCACACTTTAAACATTATTGCTCACTAGTGAATAGATGAATGTTCTGTTTTTCAGGGGTTTCGAAATCAAAAAAGAAATTGAAAACTATTCTACTGCTTTTATTAAGTAATGAAAATTTTTGTGTGAAGAATCATGATGCATTTCAGACTCAAATCGAATCGTTAGGCAGATAATCGGAATCGGATCGAATCCTGAGGCAGGTAGAGATGCACACCACTACTCTCCTCACAGTCCCACCCTGCTAAAGAGGGCCTGGAAAAGTTCCCTCACACATCAAAATGATTTTTCATTCATGCGCTTTTATAACCTTGTTAATCAGGATAGTTGATTTGCTGCTGCACATAAACTGTCAGTCAGAAGCTCTGCTAGCCGGTTATCTTAAGAGGAGCTAGTTCGATTTGTTAGCTTGTTATCAGAATCATAGTTGCAGTTTCATCATCTGAGCTGCTTTTTAAGAGCTAGGTAAACTTGTTCAATTTGGGGATAAAAACAAATGTTTTCACATATTTTCCATGTAGTTTTTTTTTTGTCAGTTCCTCTTCTGAAAGATAGACAATTGTTTTTCTCTTTCCCTCAGAAAATCTTAATTTTCTCCTAGTTTGGCCCAACACCATTCACATTCCAATTGCAGCAACAGCCTTATATAATAACCACATAAGTGGAGAAAATGTTCCGTAGCAATGAGATAATTTGCTGTTGCATTTAATTGATGTTAACTATTATTTAACATTTAAACTTATTTTCTGATTTTTTTTTATTTATTCAAGAAACCCTGGTAAGGGATGTTTTTCTGTATTTGGAGCATCAGAAAAAGTTTTATGGTGGAGGTGATGTTTTAAAGTCACTGAGAAACTGCATGCATGCAGTGTGTTGTTTTGCTGCTAATACAGTAGCAGGTGCAGCTGCATATTTTTGCAATAAAAATGTTATGTTGTAATGGGATTCATGCATGAGTTTTTGTTTGCTTTGAACCCAGAGCAGACGTCACACGCATACTTTAGTATTTGTTCATATATCGTGAGTAATATCGATATCGCAATATTAAGCACTGTTATCGAATATCGCAGGTATTAAGAATATCGTGCAGCCCTAATGTTGATCATGGATGTATTGCTAGGCTGCAGCTAGTTCAAAATGATGCAGCCCATCTTTAGACTGGCACTGGTCGATTTGATCATATCACTCCAGTTGTTGCCTCTCTACATTGGATCCTAGTTCAGTTCTGTGTTGAATTTAAGATTTTGGTTCTGGCCTACAAATGTTTAAATGGCCTTGCTCCTAGCTCTTTATCTGGAATTCTTGTGCCTTATGTCCCATCTTGTGGATTAAGGTCAGCTGACCCAGTGAGCAGAACTAACTGTCATCACAAGCTGCTGATCTAGCAGCATGATGCTCATTATTATTTTATGGGTTACAGATGAGTGTTGATGCTCTGTGTTTGTATTTTTGCAGTGAGCCTTACAATCTCACTTCTTTCCACCCACAGTTTCTTCTTAAAACACGTATTACATTTACTGTTTTGACGCATTTTAACGAGCTTCCTCCGCGCCGTGATTTCATTGTAGGATACAAACTTTACAGCACTCTCACGGAGGAAAGGTTCGGCAGATATGTTTGTTTACATTTTAGCCCCTGCGCGTCTACAGTGTTAGGGAAAGGAAGGGAGGGGCTGACGCGATGCTGCTGTCAGGGTATCTCTAGGCTCCACAGTAGCAGCGACGGACGGCTGGTTTGACCGGCTCTGAGAGGCGTTAATCAGAATTTGCAGATAGCTTTTTTTCCTTCTACCAATCGCATAGTGATGTTTGGACTTAAAAGCAACTCATTAAATTCATAGTTTTTTGTTAAAGTAATGCATTACCATGAATAGTAATGTGTTTACCAACATTTGTTATGTATATTACTGATTGCAAAAACACCCCTAGGTCTTTTGTCTTGTCTTTTTACTGAATATTTTTCTTTTATATATTTCTGCTTGGTTCCCTGCAGTTTCAAGGAAGAGAGAAGAGCCGGATGAGAAACCTCTGCTCTTACATTTCCACAACCATCAAATGAAAGACGGAGGTGTACCAACCAGCAGCTTGGCTGGGCAGATGTCAGCAAAAGTTGATGGAGGAGCAGAAACTATCAAGAACCTAGATCTGGACCCTAATGAAAAGACATCCGATTCTTCAGAGATTGAAGTTAGTGGAGAAGATGAAGATGATTTGAATCTAGACTCTGAGCGTTCAGACTCTGGGCCTGAAACTGGAAACGGAGACCATGGCTGTAATGAGAACAAGTCTTTGGAGTCAGATATTAAGACTGTCAACAAATCATTTAGCTGCCCTGTTTGTGATATACGGTTCCTCCACAAGTGGTCTCTTCAGGAACATGTGAGAGTGACAAGTCATTCAGCAGTAAAGTCTTCAGAGTGTTCGGTTAATACAAAATGTGTGAAAGAGAAGCAACATGGAGGCTCATGTAGAAAAGTCCAGAAACAACCGAAATCATTTAGTTGTGATGACTGTGGAAAAAGATTTAGCCTAAAGTCCAATTTAACCCGTCATATGAGAGTCCACACTGGGCAGAAGCCTTTTGCCTGTGAGCTCTGTGGATACAGATGTAGCCATAAGTCAAATTTAAATGATCACATAAAAGTCCACACAGGAGAGAAGCCTTTTGCCTGTGAGCTCTGTGGATACAGATGTACCCAAAAGGCAAATGTAACCAAACACATGAGAGTCCACACAGGAGAGAAGCCTTTTGCCTGTGAGCTCTGTGGATACAGATGTACCCAAAAGTCAAATTTAAATGATCACATGAAAGTCCACACAGGAGAGAAGCCTTTTGCCTGTGAGCTCTGTGAATACAGATATACCCATAAGGCAAGTTTAAACGCACACATGAGAGTCCACACAGGAGAGAAGCCTTTTGCCTGTGAGCTCTGTGGATACAGATGTACCCATAAGGCAAGTTTAAACACACACATGAGAGTCCATACAGGAGATAAGCCTTTTGCCTGTGAGCTCTGTGGATACAGATGTACCCAAAAGTCAAATTTAAATGATCACATGAAAGTCCACAAAGGAGAGAAGCCTTTTGCCTGTGAGCTCTGTGGATACAGATGTACCCAAAAGGCAAATTTAACCAAACACATGAGAGTCCACACAGGAGAGAAGCCTTTTGCCTGTGAGCTTTGTGGATACAGATGTACCCAAAAGGCAAGTTTAAACAGACACATGAGAGTCCACACAGGAGAGAAGCCTTTTGCCTGTGAGCTCTGTGGATACAGATATACCCGTAAGGCAAGTTTAAACACACACATGAGAGTCCACACAGGAGAGAAGCATTTTGCCTGTGAGCTCCCGAGATACAGATGTACCCAAAAGGCAAATTTAACCATACCAAACCATACCATTTTATTTATATAGCGCTTTCAACACGGCATTACAACCATACAAAGCGCTGCACAAAAAACAGGCAAGAAAACACAAGTTAAAATAGTCAGGTAGATGGAAAATGTAAAAAGGAGCAAAAGAAATATAAACAACAGACTATTAACAGTAAAAGCAAATAAAATCAGAATATACAAACACAAAATTAAAATTGAATTGACTAGGTGGGACAATGGATGAGCTAAGGAGTTATGGAATTAAGGATCGAATGCGTAAGTGAAGTAGAGGGTCTTCAGACAAGATTTAAAGACGGCGATAGAGGAAGCTTGCCTAACCTACAGTGGTAATGAGTTCCATAACTTTGGGGCACAGACTGAAAAAGCCCTCTCCCCACGAGTCTTCAAACGTGCCTTAGGGACAGTTAAGAGGAGTTGATCTTCAGACCTAAGAGCATGAGGAGGGTGGTAGTAATGAAGGAGATCACACAGATAGGGAGGCGCTTGACCGTTCAAGGATTTGAACGTGAGAAGTAAAATTTTATAATTGATCCTGAATTTAACGGGCAACCAGTGAAGCGTTTTAAGAATAGGTGAGATGTGGTGTCTTCTTTCAGCTCCAGTCAAGAACCTTGCTGCAGAATTCTGAACAAGCTGATGCCTAGACAAAGCCGCCTCACTGATACCGTACAAACAGGAGTTTTAATAATCCAACCGAGAAGTGATGAATGCGTGAATCACAGATTCTAGAAGACGGACACTTAGGATGGACTTTAATTTTGAAATATGTCTAAGATGGTAAAAGCAGGACCTGACCGTGCTATTGACCTGAGCATCCATCTTCAGAGCAGAATCTATTCTTATTCCAAGGTTGGAAACAACAGAAGTGACATTAGGCGACAGATAGTTGAGGTCTGGTTGCTGGGCTGCTCTAACACTAGTTGGACTAAAAACGATTACCTCTGTTTTGGAGTCGTTCAGAATTAGGAAGTTGTCAGCCAACCATTGCTTGACTTCGTGAAGACAATCAAACAGAGGTTTAGTGGAGTCTTTGGGTTTCAGTGAAAAATAAATTTGACAATCATCTGCATATAGATGGTAAGACACTGCATGCTGTTTGAAAACAGCTCCCAAGGGCAGAATATAAATACAGAACAGTAACGGGCCGAGGATGGAACCTTGAGGAACCCCCCAGGGAAGGGAGAGTGTTTCGGATGAATAATCATCCAGCATGACCCTAAGGGACCTGTCATGGAAGTAAGACCTAAACCAGTCCAGGGCCGAACCTGAGATGCCAGCCCAAGTCCGTAGTGTAGAGATCAAGATGTTGTGATCAACCGTATCGAAGGCTGCAGATAGATCCAGGCTGTGTCCGAATCCACGGGTAGGATGCTTGTGAGTACAGGTCCTCGCCGGTCCAGCAAGACCGAGTCCTTGCTAGACCGCTAAAACCGGAAGTCAGCGGCTCTGAATTCGGACAGTACTAGCCTCGTTTTTATTCCCGTCCCCAGGTCCAGTTGCTTAGCTACCGTGACGGCGGCAAACAGGCTAACAAGCTAACAAGCTTGTCAGAGGTGAAAATGGATCCACAGCAGTATTCCCTTTTATTTTTGGTTTTTGAGGAGCTGCGACTGCTTAGTAAACGTCACCAGCCTTTGTATTTAAGGCTGAGAAGCAGCCATATCCAGGTAAAATTATTTTTTGTTTAGTGAACCAGCTTTCACGCATTACATGTTAACTTTAGTGCTAGTTTCATTTATATTTTAAGCAACAGAAAGACATGTGGCTGAATATACACGTTAGTATAGAGTAGACTAACATGCATATAGTTAATTTAACCTATATTCATCTAAAATAATTGATGGAATGACATTTTAGAAGTTTGTATTTGATCATAATGCTTGGTTCTGTGCATAAATTTCATAGTAAAAGTAGCATTACAATGTGTTTAATGTGTATTGTCCTTTTCAACTTATGCCTAATAATGCCTAGCTCTCTTCTAAAAATCTCAAGCATTTGTACAGGTTTTTTTTTTATTGTTTTATTGTTCTCTACTTTTCTTTTAACAGAACAGACCCCTGTACTGTAGGATAAACATGAGTGTGCCAGTCCTGGACCGGTTTTTTTAACCAGGGAGATCCCAGGCCAGATTTTCGTCTGAGCAGGGAGTCTTTTGTGGTGTTGCTAAATCTCCTGAACCAAGATCGGCGACATGGTTGGGGTGCCACAATCGAGACCCTGGTGTTTCTGTTCTGGTTGGCAAGTGGAACATCCTACAGGGTGGTCTCAGGAGTATTTGGGATGCCTCGCTCAACTGTCCACGACATCGTCCATCGAGTCACGGAGGATGTGGTCGCAATCCTCCACCAGGTCATTCACCTCCCCAAAACCCCAGAGGAGATGGAGGTTGTGTCTCGTGGGTTTGCTGGGCTGGCTCGACACAGAGCTTTCATGAAAGCAGCAGGTGCGATCGACGGCTGTCACATTCGGATCAAGGCTCCGAGCGGTCCTGATGGTCAGTGCTACAGAAACAGGAAACTGTTCCCATCTATCATCCTGCAGGCAGTTTGTGACCATCAGGGCCGCTTTATCGACACCTATGTGGGCTGGCCTGGGTCGGTCCACGACTCCAGGGTCCTCCGGCACAGCCCACTGTACAGGCAGTCAGCCTTTCCTCCTCCAGGGCACTTCATCCTCGCGGATGGAGGGTACCCATGCCTCCAACATCCACTCTCCCTCATCACCCCCTACAAACGGGTGGTTCAAGGTGTGGGAGCCCAGCGCTTCAACAGCCATCATTCCAGGGCACGCTGCATCATCGAGCGTGCTTTTGGAATGATGAAGACCAGGTTCAGGACCATCTTCCTGAAAGCGCTGGAGGTCCACCACACCTTTGTACCTCATGTAAGTTAACACAAAGTGGAAATAAACTTTGGGTGTAATCTTTGTTTGGGAATGAAATATAAATTAAATTTTCATCTCTATTACAGGTCATCACAGCATGCACCATCCTGCACAACATCTGCCTCAGTGCTGGTGACATTGTGGTGCAGGACGATGAACTGGAGGATGATGCTCCAGAAGATGAGGGGGAGGCTGGTTTGGAGGCAGTCAGTGGTGCCCTCTGGCGGGACCAACTTTCTGCTGAGGTGTCTGCTCTGGAGGAACTACCACCAGATCACAATTACTGTTAACAGGCAAGTAATTTACGTAGGAATCTCTAGTTTAAAAATCATTTAGTCCTGTTATCTGCTAGAGTTACAAGTATTATACTCATGATTTCCTTTTTTGCATATATCTGAATGTTAGTGATGTGACAGCCGTCGATTGAGCCAGCCCAGCAAACCCTTTTGATGGACGATGCAGTGGTCAGTGAGATGAGGCATCCAGAAGCTCCCTCTGCAGACCACTGTCTGATGTTCCACTTGCCAACCAGAAATGTTCAGCCACGGATCTCGGTTCCTGCACTCCATCCACCTCGATGATCCATGTTTAGTAGATTTAGCAACACCACCAAAGACTCCCTGCTTTCCGAGTTTACTGTATATATTTTACTTTTATCTTTACTTTTATTCCTTGCAGTGTTCCCTTACCATTTATTTACTATGTTGTTACTTGTTAAAAACTGAATAATAAAACTGTTAATGATCAAAAAAGAGTTATCAATTAATAGAAATTTTATTACATTTAAACAAATAACAAAAACATTCAAACACATATATAGAACCTGAACCAGAAGAAACTAAAAGAAAAAAAAAACCCATTTCTCTGCCATCCTTTCCATCAATGCTAAAAATCTGTCCATCCTTCTTTCTCTCCTCTCCTCCGCTTCCCTCTGTTGTCTCATGTCCTCCTTGATCAGGTCAAGGAGCTCATCAGCCCTTCTCCTTTTTCTCCCTGATGAGGACTCCGGCTTCCTTCCACCACTCTCCCTGTCCTCTGTCTCACCCACTGCTGCACTTGGCCCTGGAGTGTCCTCGGGAATGGAAGCAATAAGGACAGGAGGCCTCTGTCCCAACACCTCGTCCATGGGGACAAACCAGGGCCAGGTTTCAGCAGTGGGCTTTCCGCTGACTCCCTCTCCTGACCCTGGATACTTGCAGTCCTACAGACAAAGGGAATTAGAATAACAAGGCTTTATTGTCATTTAACAACAGAGAACACTGTGGGCATAATGAAATTACAGATGCTCCTTAAAGGTACTGGTTCTGGAAGAGAATAGAGAGGAATAGAAGAACAACGTCAGATTATAAATCATAGTTGATAAAGCATGCAATAAACAATATTTTAATTTATCAACATGGGAGATGAAAATTGTGTTCTGTGTTTTTTTCCGCCTAAAATGAAATTAAAAACATTAAATCAGTAATGTGGTTTCTTAAAAATTAACTTAAATAAACATTAAACTTAGTTTTCGTTATTTTTGGCATTCGTTACATGATTACATAAGATGCAAGCTCTTTTACGGTGAGTATTTTCCTATTAGACTTTCAAGCAAGTTTACGGTGGGGTGTTAACCTTAAAACAAATGATGAGAAGCTTTATTCGCTAAATAAACACGCACACACGGGAATTATGACGGGACCACCATACGAGCTCGTTCTCGCTGATTTCTGCTTAAAATGTACTTATACAAACGACAAATGTCTATAAACAGAACCGCTTTCAGCTTAGTTTTCTACCGCTATTCTCTTTTTAAAAGCCTGCTGGGATCAAGCTAGTTTACTGTGGGTTTTTTCCTATTAAACATTCAAGCCGGTTTTCGTTGGGGCATGTTTTAGCCTTAAATTACATGAAAAAAATAAACAATTTGTGGTATTAGATCTTATATAAAACACAAACCAAAAGTGCCCAAACACGTATTTTATTTTTTTGACCGCTATTTTTTTAACTAACTTACATTTTAAGCTGTACTGCTGTCCCGCTCCGTCCGCCATTGTTGCGAGTGTCGAGTCCAGCGGCCGGCGTGCAAAGCATGCTGGGATACCCTTGCTCCTGTGAGGATCCATCAGACCCATCCTCGAAATGTGGGTGGAGCGAGGACGCGTTTGAGGACGCGAGAATGAGGATTCTTGGAATTCGGACAGTACTCGTCGCTGCGCTTTGACGTCATCGACCTCAAAATGCGCACTCACAAGCATCCTACCTCTGGATTCGGACACAGCCTTCGTCTCACTGTTGTCCCAGACAGTCCCTGAAGATCCTTCAGACCAACAAACACATAACAGTCATCAGATGAGTGAGAACAGAGGACTCCTGGAGGCTTCTTTAATTTGCTATTTGTGTGATGATGTCAGAGGCAGCCCAAGACATATAAGACTTAACTGACTGCTTTGGGCCCCCACACCACCAGGGGGCCCCCAAGAGCACCAAGATGACATGAGAAAAAATGTTTTAATAACTAACTAATAAAAACTAATATTTCATGATAAAATAAAAACATTTTTCTATATTACTTTCTGTAGTGTCAATTGGTTTTATTTTGAAGTGTATTTTACACGTTTCAAATTTTAAGAACAAAAAATAGTAATCCTAACTTTTTTTTTTTTTACTGTAAATTCAGTGTTTGTCTGCTGATGTTTCTTTCAAATAGTTGAATTAATTTACTACACTTAAACTAACAATGAGTGTTTTTTTTTTTTTGCTCCAGTAAAGCTAAAATCAACATCCACAATAATAACTTCATAATTTTTGAGCTAATTACCAAAGATGCTAACGATGGTGGTCATGTTACACAAATGGTGTAGCCTAGGAATGGTGTTGACTTGTTGGTATGGGGGGCCCCAATAGAAACCCTGCTTAGGGCGCCACAAAGGCTTTGGCCTGCCCTGGATGATGTCATCAGTAAATAAATGCATCAGCTGAACTTTGTTGTGTTCAGATCACTTTTAAAAGATAATTTTTAATAAATGATGGCAAAAGCAAGAATTGGTGTCATTCTTCTCACCAAAACCTTTCAGGCTCATATAAAACGCTGCTTTACAATAGATCAGCATCTTCAGTCAGAACCAGGAGAACAGACTCTTAACCCTTTAACACTAACGGTAAAATTAGTAACACCATCACTAACACGTGGGGTGGAAATCGTCATTTTTCCCCCCACACTTTAAACCCTGCGGCCAGTATGATGGTGTGGGTAATTACAGCAGTTTTCCTTGGATGGTAATCAAGAATGTCTTCTATTCCTGATTTAATTTCCGGTGCCTGCCTCTCTGACATCTTGTTGGCGGATTTCAGTTGATTCAGACAGGTTTCAGCAGAAAATCCCACACTGACCTTTAGGGAAAAGCCTAAATATAATTATTATGAATATTGCATTACAAGTGGTGAAATGATTGAGCAGTGTGTCATGAAATAATCGGTGATTCTTCAAAAAGACTTTTAGTTTTTCATTTCATTGTGACTCGTTTATCACACGCTGTTACGACCAGTGGTTGGTAAACATGAAGGACACATAACACAGAGGCATGTGCAGGTTGGTGAAATTCAAACAGTTTTTATTATAAATACAGATTTTAAAAAACAAAGCTCCAATTCTAAAAGTTCAGTAAATAACAGTGTTAAAAAGGCTCGTGGTTACATGTTTCAAATGGGGATTCTCAATTAAAACACATCTCAAAAGCTCTCAAACATACCAACACAAAGGTCCACTGACCATACGGAGCTAAGAGGGAGCCAGCACTCGGGTCCCTCGTCTGTTTTAAAAGCCTACAAGTACTCTTGCTTTCACCTATTAAAACGTCTGGACTAAAACCCTTAAAACAGTAATGGAGCCAACAGTGAGACGTGGCATGGATCCGGCCTCCTCTGTTGTGTTCTACTTGAACTAGAAGACACGGGACAACTGTGTGCCGTGAACTGAAGCTAAACCTTGTATTCACACTCCCCTCTCCCACACACTAACACACCCCACAGTCCTGACGTGTCCACTGGCAGCAACCAAACAACATCAGCTGAGGCAAGATAACTCAGGTAAGGGCAAAGGAATCAAATGCAAACGAGTCCCTGTGGCAAGTCCACCCTATAAGACCTGAGTGAGTAATGTTTTTGGTTCAGAATACCTGGTGTCTTCACATCTGTCACGCACACCCGATCATCACGCAACACTTCACTTAGCAGCTTTGCCCGATGGCGTCTGTTGTAGTTCTGTGCATTGTACGTCCTCTTGTCCTCCTCTCTTTGCACAAGCATTGGCTGGTCAGGCAGCACAGGATCCAACAGTGAAGAAACACTACTTGGTATGTATACTGTATGTTGTGTGTGTGTGTGTCTGCTCTGTCTTCTCCAGGATCCTCTGG